GCATTACAAGAATTTGTTGAATATAATATGCAGGGTCAACACTGAGGATCTGTCTGATTGCTCTTTCCTTTTTCTGTGCCTCTTGGGGAAATGTGTTGCTTTTAACCATGCCGGTAGCCCAAAACTGTCATTATGCCAGTAAATGTTGCTAACAAAGGTAAAGCACAACATGGAGGTAGCAAGTCGAGAAATCCAACAGAAGTCTAAAGTGTCCCAAGACTGCAATGGCATGTTGACTTTCAGGCATACATTTGTGGAATGCTAGATAGATGTAATGGTCAACCATTTCACTTCTATCAGAAAGCAGGATGTCTTACTTAAGAAAATAATTGATTTTGCAGTACAGTCCTGTACATGTTTACTCAGACATAAATCTCACTCAGTGGGGCTTACTCCCAGGTTACTGTTCTTAAGAATATTCATTTTTTTAATCCAACTTCCTTACTGAAACTCAAGACAAATTACAGTTATAAAAAACAATGCAGTAAGTGAAGACTTCCGGTTTCGGCGACTTGCAGGTGGGTGTGCTCCATCACAGCTCTGATGTGAGCGCCCCGCAAACGTGCCGATGGGGGGGTCCGAGTTGATCTTGTACCCCCCCTGACCCCTTGTAGGGGGGGTCTCAGCCTGGGGCGCGAGAGGTGCCTCTCCCAAGGTGGAAGCCAAAGGATTGAAGCACCTTTTTGCCCCGATAGGCCCCCGTGGCACGGAGCCAGCATGACACTAAGAGGTGCACACCGGACAGAGTGCACAAGGATGCCGAGAAACGATCATCTCTACATGCCAAGCGAACACAAGTACAAATGTGAGTGAAGCCATGATCCAGCAAACCATCGATAAATCGCTACTAGTAAAGCTGCCCCAAACAAGCGGAAGGGGGAGGGGAATGCCCGATCCTGAAATGACTGAGTTTAAAGCAGGAGGCTGAAAGGGCAGCTTGAAGAAAGCAGATTATGATGAAGTGTGTGGTGGACCAGCAAGAAAATGATAAATTCCAGATTTACGGAGAACTTTTAAACTTTCCTCTTGTGTAAACAATGACGCAGTGAGCAGAAAAAATGGCGTTGAAAGCAAAACTTATAATACGAACTGCCAGCACAGCATCGCTGGCTACCAGACCGGAAGTAACCACAGACTTTCCCAAACTGACTGCTGTAGCTTTGTGCCCTCTACTGGATCAGATGACCAACTTTAACATCAAGCTGGATACGTTGCAAAAGGAATTCAAAGAAATTTCAGCAAGAAAGAAATAAAGCGGATGTTCCTGAAACAACAACAGAAAGTGGAAGAGGGACCTGAGAAAGTGGAGGAGAACAAAGACACAGAAGAAGAAGAAGAGAACGATGGGGAAGGCTGTGATACCATCTTGAAAAGTCTGGCAAAACTTTTTGATCCTGAAGCAGAACTAGGTGCTTTTGCCACTAAACCATCTAAAAGCTAATTTGGACTTTGATAAGAAGGAAGGAAATTGCAAAACATATTAACTCTGATAGCCTGTTGTTTATTTTTAATGCATAACTTTAATTCTATGATATTTACACCTTAGTTAAAAAGATTGTGATTGCTTGCTTGACACTTTTGCATTAGTAATCTTCATGTTTCACTACTAAGATAACAGAGATGTATCAACAACCTTATATTTCTGTATTATGGATTCTTGTTACTCCTTATTTTAGGTTCTTCCATTACCCTGACCCTGTAGTTTTGTAGATTAGAAAATAAAAAAAATTAAAAGACAAAAAACAATGCAGTAAGTATCAGTATAAAACTGGATTGCACAATTAAACAGTATAATAAAAACAATATAACATATCCCATAAACTGGATTTCACAATACAATATTATTTCATTTATTTTATTTGACACATCTTTCACCATTCCCCGCCCAGGAGGCATGAAGTGGAAAACTGCGCAGAAAGTCTTGTGGCACTTGCAAATAGGGTTGCCATCTTCCATGTGGAATACAGAAAAAGAAAAAACATCCATGGGACGACCCAATTAAGTGTGAGAGGAAAGATCTTCAATTTAAATGCATAAATAATAAATGGCAAACAGCTCAAAAGGTATAGAGTCCGCTGTATATAAGTCCATGCAAAAAGTCCAAGAGGATCCACAGAAGAAAGACTGGACTCGTGATGTGAATGTAGAGTAGAAGTTGCAAATTTATTCAAATAAATTTGCCCAATGAATGGGAGATTGATATGTGGTGCCTGGGCAGGAAGTAAGCAGTAGCAAGTGTAACAGTTATAGAAACTGACGGTGTATAAGAGGTTGACTTGTAATGGGGGATTTAGGCATTTTATTTTGTAGCAAGTTCCTTTTGTGACCAAAAGTTTGTTTTGGTTATAGATTAATGCTTTGATCTGAAGAAGAATATTTAGAAAAGAGGAAAATAAGAAATCTGGAAACCTCTTTATCAATGTGGCTGTACTTGAATAAATGTACAACTTCTACTCTACATTCTGTGGATCCTCTTAGACTTTTTGCATGGACTTACAGTGGACTCTATACCTTTTTTGCTGCTTGCCATTTATGCATTTAGATTGAAGAGCTTTCCTCTCATCCCATGGACTTTTTTTCTTTTTCTTTATTCTATTTCTGCACATATCTATTTATTTAAAACATTTATCCCACTTGTCCTGGGGGAAAATGGCTGTTTGGAAGGTGTTTGGAAGGTGGACGGTATGGCATCATGCCCTACCAAGGACCATTTCCTCCCTAAACCCCACCCTCCTCTGGCTTCACCCTCAAATCTCCAGGTATTCCCAAACCCAGAGTTAGCAACCCTTCTTGCGAAGAGTGTTCATGTTCACGAATCCATGATGGAATTCACACCAAACCTCTCTGCCCGAACTCCTCTCCCCACACCCTTGTGATCTTCCCCTTAAGAATTCCCATTATAATTTCCTTTCACATATCTAAAGAAGTGAACTATGACTCACGAAAGCTCATACAGAAATAAATGTTGTTCGTCTTTATGGTGCCACTGGTCTTTTGAGCCTTGATGGATAGGAGAAAGGAGTACTGTAATTATGAGGCCCACAGAAAATCCAGGTAGCTGCAGGCCTTTGCTGTTCAAAGATAGGCTTGCAGATGGGTCCTCTCAGTGGTTTTTAAACGTGGTGGTGGGAAGTAACTGGTGCAGCATAACTGAGGCCTTTGTAAGTGAATTCCAGGGCCCCTCATGACGTGCTTTATAAGTTGTGTGATCAGAGAGCTGACAGCGATGTCTGTTATAAAGCTCCTGACCAGAGACACTAGGGGTCTCTTGGCCAGCCTTTGCCGTTTGAACTGTTGAAGTGCCCAAGGGGCTGTCCTCCTCTTCATTTGCTGTGGAGATAGGAAAATGGCAGCTCTTCATGTTTCCAAGAGGCAGCAAAATAAACTTTGTCATAATGGTCAACATGTGAAGCTGCCCTATACCAAGTCAAAGTATTGATCTCACTAGCTGAGGGTTGTCTACTTTGACAGGCTCCAGCTTTCCATGGTATCAAGCATGGAACAACCAACAACAACCCAGAATTTCTCAATACCCACTTCCTGAGTTCTTTTTCTAAATGGACATGCCAAAGATTGAACCTGGACATGCATGTGCTTTGCCACGGAACCACAGCATCTCCCTCAATCTCAAAAAGTAACCTCAAAAGTTTATTTATGGGATTATGAGAAAAGGATTTCTGAATTTCTTTGCTGGATTTGGTTTGCGACAAACAGGACCACGGTGTGTAATAGCCAGTGAAACAGTAAATCACTTAGCCAATTATTATATGCTGTAGACCCAGTCACATTAGAGCTTGCTATAGGAGCTCCCCAGTCACCAGAATCTAAGTGCGGTAGCGCACATCAAAAATCGTATAAGAATTAGCATTTTGAAATATGGCTTGCAGCACTTCATTCTAATGAAGAAATAAGTACAGAATGCCAAACCTGATGAAGGACACGCAAACGGATAGTGTACTAGAACTCCGTCGTTTGTCTGTAACTAGTACTGTATTACTTTGTATGTACTGCTAAGCTTTATATCACATACTGTAGCGTTATTGTTAATAACTGAATTCTCAACATTGCATATAAAAGCCAACAAATATTGTTTAATTGTACACGGTGATTTACTGTTTCACTAGATTTGGTTTGCGGCCTAATCGACAGACTTTGTGCTTCCTGCATTTGCTGACTGTAAACAGTACTACTCCAGAATACTACATTGGCATGGTGAGAAGGCATGCTACAGCATAACACTGTACGTCTCTGCAGCAATAAGTGTTATAAAGTCTACACCCACATGTTTTTACATGGTCTTCCCCTCCTTCTCAGGCAGGAAGGAGGATTATTTAAAGCAGTCATGTAATAACTTAGTAGGTGTACAGGCAGCACATAAAGCGTTAATGCTTTTCTGCCATATGGTGAGCATAGGAACTAGGCCCTTAACAGGTTGAGGTATAGGGATACCAGACCCCTGGTGGAGATGGGGGACTCCTGCTTTCAGCCTCCGCCACTGATCAGCTAGCTGATGGGGTAGAATTACCCCCCCCCCCAAAAAAAGGAGGAATGCTTGGAAATTAACCCAATGTGCCTATGTGACCTGGAAGTGACATAAACACATCAGGGGGTGGCACTCTAGGTTTTGGGCAAAACTCTATGGTAGAAGCTAATTCTACCATAGAGTTTTGCCCAAAAACCAGAGTGTTCCCCCCCCCAACATGTCTACGTCCTTTCTGGGTCACGTGGGCACATCGCATTAATTTCTGGTGTTCCTCCCAGCTCCTCGTAAGTGTACCCCCATCCCCCTCTGGCTGATCCAAGGGACCTGGCAACCCTGTTGAGGTACCAAGGGGCACGTGCTGTTGTTGAGTAGTGATATTCTCAATCTCCAATCTGTTATTTGAGAACAATCAAACCTCAATGGTTCAAGCTCAGCTTAATTTAAAAACTGCAGCTCCGTGTCTACCGAAACTGTGCTTGGGATTCCATGACTGAGCTTGTGTTTGCCTCTTTTGCAGCAAATGTCATGTACTTGGCAAGTCAAGAGATGAGGAAGGTTGTGGAGAGAGACAGCAGTACCATTAAAAAGCACTTAAAGAAGGTAATCCTTTACTCTTTGCATTGTTTTCATTGGCTAGACAGTTGCCAGCAGTTGTTGTTTATGCTTTTCAAAGAGCTTTGCTTTTTCCAAAATTTCCGTATTGATCTCACTGTCAACGTGTGGGATTGGCCTGCGTGTATTTATTTGAAAGAGGGGTTGTTTTATTTTTAATTCTATCTTAGGGCCAAACTAGACAATACAGCATCTGTGGGGATGACAACACCATTGTGCCACCTGGAATTTCCTCACTTTACAAGCACCACGAGGGCCTAATTCTGCTTGGGACCGTGGAGAGATGGGGAGGGTCCTGTCTCCCCCCCTACACTGTTGGGGTTTTGCAAACAGAAGAGCGGGAAGGAGACCGGAGACCCTCCCCTGCGCCACAGTCCCGAGCAGCATCAAGCCCCTGCTATATTGGTAAGGTGAGAGAATCCCACCAGGAAGATGGCAGGTGCATCGTGGTTGTTCCCAGGGACATGGTAGGCTCTAGCCCTTAGCCTGCAGCATTCAAAGTTACTGGCAACAATATGAACCAAATAAAAACAACAAAAAGCAAGTAAAAAGACAGTCATCATCCCAGCATCTTGGAGAACTAGTGTAAACAGCAAGGGCTTCTGCAGCTTTCTTTCGTTTTAGCAGAGATGAGCAGTGATGAGCCTCCAAGGGCAGGCTTTTTTAAAGACTCTGGCCGTGCAATGCCAAGCAGAGTTAACATTCTTCTGAGCCCATTGACTTCAGTAGGCTTAGAAGGGCTGCGACTCTGCTTAGGAATACACTGTAAATCACAGGGCCGTGTCAGTGTTGATGTGGCCCCCTCCATGTAGACCCCAAACAAGCATCCCCATAGACTCCCCCTTCTAAAAGTTCCTGGTCACTAGGAAGCCAAAGAATCTAGGCCACCACGGAGAAGTCCCCGCTCCTACTCCTCACTGTGCTCACCTCCCCCCCATAGCGTCTGAGAATGACATGTCTGGAAATCCAGCACTTTGATTCGGTCTTGAAAGCTGATACACAGATGCTGTAGTTCGTGTAAAACAGCTTGAATATTTTCACATGACCATTTTTGTGCCCATCTGAACATTCTAGTCTGTCCTCCAGGGCTGCCCCCACGCATTGTTTAGTTACCTCACTTATACACCAACTTCTCTCACAAGTGGGGACCAAAAGTGGACTGCGACATCCTCCCTTCCTCCATTTTATCTTTGCAACAGCTCTGTGAGGTAAGGTAGGTGGAGAGGGCCTGATGGACCCCAAGCCACCAAGCAAACTTCCTTGGCAGAGACCGGATTTGAACCTGGGTCTGCCAGATCCTAGTCTGCCACTTTAAGCACCACACCATAACTGGCTCTCATTGCTCGATTCAACTGGTATCTGAGCTGCGTCGTGTCAGCACTTTAGCACTCCCCTAATGTGTCACAATCCCTGACCTGGATGGCCCAGGGTAGCCTGATCTTTTCAGCTTTTAGAAGCTAGGGAGGGTCAGCCTTGGTTAGTAATTGAATGGGAGACCACTAAGGAAGTCCAGGGTCTCTGTGCAGATGAAGGCAATGGCAAGCAGTCTCTTGCCTTGAAAACCCTACAGCATCACCATCAATCACCTGTGACTTGACGGCACTTTATGCGCAGTCGATATGTCACAATGAAGCACTAATAGGAATGCCTTTCATCCAACTCTTTTGTGCAAGTCAGATAACATGTTTATATGTCTGTCTGTCTGTCTGTCTATCTATCTATCTATCTATCATCTATCTATCTATCTATCTGGTACTTCTTTGTCCTGTCCTCTTCCTCCAAGATGCTCAGGGCAGCCCCTGTTTCATCTCCACGGCAGCCTCATGAGGTATGTTATAGACAGCGCTTGTGACTAGCCTAAGTTCCCCCAGCAAGTTTCATGGCAGTCTGGGAATTTTAAGCCGGGCGTCCCAAATCCCACTCAGACATGCCAACTGCCCTGCTCTGCCCTGGCACCATCCAATTTCTTTTTGATATGTTCTATGGATTTAAACTACTGAAATCAAAACTTGGCAGGCCACAGAATGTTGCTCTTGCTACTGCATCAATCCTTTCTTCTGTCAACATGGCTATTGACCTGGAGTGTTTAACGTAACAACGGCTCAACGACTGTCTTGTGGATCTGCTGTTTTCTCAGACCATTGCTGTGTGACGCGTGCACCCACTGACTTCACTGTACTTGGGATCGTTGTAAAACTCTCTTAACTTCCCTTGCTAAATTAGGGGCTATGGCAAGCAGCAAGTGTCTTGCAGGTGCTTTCGGCTATTTCCATCTGTTTTCCTTCACGACGTCAATCCAAGCAGTGCTTTGGCACCTGGGAGCCTTCTTTGAAAACGTGTGTTTTATTGGTTCCTCTGTGTCATTGCAATTTTAAAGCGGCAAGCCGTACCCAGGAAAATAAAAAGTTGAGGCAAAGTGAGCAAAAAGCTGGCAAGTGGCTGGTAAAGCAAAGGCAAGTGTGAAATTAAATGCCTTTCGTCTCTCCCACCCCTGCCACCACCACCCGATTCTTCCTTCTAATAATTTCTGTGAATGTGAAAATTAGGGGAGAAATGGGAGCTGGCGTGAGAAGTTATACCTGAAGCATCCTGACAGTAAAAGGAGGTTTGACTAATAAAGTGCTGGAAGTTTACAAGAACAGGAACTGTAGTCCAAGTTGCTCTACAGCTGGCAAGTTGTTGCTTTGCAAAATGTATGCTGTTTGGTAGTCAGCGTGATCATAAGTGTAAAGCCAATCTTAACACCTGACAATGCCAGCTGCTGTGGAAGAGAAAAAGTTATTTCTGGACTCCATTTGCATGTTGTGTGCTGAAAGAGGTGAGAGAAGAGACACTAAATTATTCCTGTCTTTCCAAGCCCAGTTTTACGGCATAATTAGTCTGAGTCGGGCAGCAAGAGGCAATATGGTTCTTTTCAAAATTGGGGCAGAAGTCCCAGGTACATGAGTGCTAATGGGTAAGGGGGACGGAACCATCTGTAGACATTTCTATGAGTTTAAAGTCATTCGTCATTAGCTATGGTGGGGCAACCTGCCCCTCCCCTCACTTCTTCCCAAGGCCTCACAATTTTTGGAGAGAAGCCAGGGGAGGCTGCATGCACCTGCCCTCCAAGATGCAAATTCACAGTTTGAAGTGCAGGCACACGGCCCCTGGCTTCTCCCTCAAAGCATTTAGGAGCTCCAGCCCACTCCCCTGGATCTTCTGGAGCACAGCCTTTGCACACGTGCCACAATGACATCACCCAGAAGTGACATCATCATGCTAGGCACGTTGTGCAGGGGATGCTCTAGCATTTGGCCAAAAACTCCGTGGTCACCATAGACGTTTTAGCCAAATGCTAGAACATCCCCCAAGCAATGTGCCCAGCGCAACGACGTCACCTCTGGGTGATGTCATCACGCCGAGCACGTCAGTCATGGTGGGGCTCTTCAGGGGCTTTCCCTACCGGCCAGTTGGCCGGCAGCAGATTGGGGGTCCTGAAATTGGGGGGGGAAACCCACCCCCATTAGGGGTTGGCAACCCTAGACAAGAGGCAGATCTTAACTGGTGGGCTGGATAATCTGGGAGGAGATGGGCCTTCAGGTACCCTGGCCCCAAGCCATTTTGGGCCGTAAAGGTAACAACCCGCACTTTGAATTGTACCTGGAAACAGATGGCCAGCGTAGATCTCTCAATACATGGGTGATACAGTCCCTGTAATCAGCCCCTAACATAGGGTTGCCAGCTCCAGGTTGGGAAATACTTGGAGATTTTTTTTTTGGGGGGGAGGGATTTTGACATTTCCAAACTGTTTCCAAAGGCAGTCCCAGGCAGAGCACATAACAGAAATCTAACTTGGATGTGATCAGAAGATGGATCACTATGGCCAGATCACGGCTGTAGCTGACAAGTCAGCTGGAGATGATAAAAATCACTATTGTGCCACAGAGGAGACCTGAGCTTCCAGCACCAACACTTTATTGGACTGTATTATATTGTTTTATCTTGTTTTTAATGTTGGCATTCGTGCCGTCTTGTTAGCCATCCTGAGCCTTTGGGGAGGGCGGGGTATAAATCTAATAAATAAATAAATAAATAGGCCAGGCCTAGTAGCACCCCCAGCCTTGTATTTCACCCAGTCAGCCAGATATTCCTGGAAGGCCTAAAAGCATGGCCTAGAGGCTAAAGCCTTCCTTAAGCACTGGTATTTAGAGCAATACTGCCTCTGAACATGGGTGCTCCTTCATGAATGTGCTTAATCCCCTTTTTAAGTCAACCACACCCATGGCAGTGAATTCCACAAGTGACTTGCTCATTGAGTGGAGAAGTACTACTTAAAACTTATACAAGGTGGCTTACAACCCTTTAGGTAAAACAATAAAAGTTTAACAAAAAAAAAAGTTTAAAACCAATAAAAAGATGAAATAGCAGCGGGGGGGAACATAAGAATGGGGTGGAAGTGTGAAGTCTATAAGCACAGCAGGTTGTAGAACTGTCCAGACAAATAACACACAAAACACATACATATAACAATTTTAAAAGGGGGAACCACAGCTAGGGATGCCGGCCTCCTGGTGGGGCCTGGGGATCCCCCAGAATTACAGCTCATCTCCAGACTGCAGAGATCAGTTCCTCTGGAGAAAATGGATGCTTTGGAGGGTGAACTTTGTGGCAAGGTACCCCACTGAGGTCCCTGTCTTCCCCAAGCTCCATACCCAAATCTCCAGGCATTTCCCAACCTGGATCTGGCAACCCTAACCCCCATCACCCACCGGGGGCCACGGAGGGCCTGGCAACCCTACCATCAACACAGCTACCTCCATGAACACTAACATTAAAAAATCATCAGGGAACAGGGAAGTCCCATCAAAATCTCCATGGTTAGGGGCAAATGGGGAATTTTTTTCCCCCTCGGTGCCTAAAAGCTTGCAAATTTGGCACCAGCAGAAAATGTATGGGAAGAGAGCTCCAAAGTCTTGACACCACTACAGATAAGGTCCCCATCTTTG